TCCTCCTAAGGCACTGCTTGGTTTCCAGTGGGTAAAGAGCAGCCCAATGTCGCGGCTTCTTTTTCTTGCCTTTCCCCAGCCCTTCTCTTGCTCATTCCTTTTCTCCTTGGCACAGCCTCAGGCACCCTCCTCCATTCCCTATTATCGTCCAGCTGCAGGTGACAGCACCAAACATTCCTGGCCGAGTCACCTTCTCTTTCATAAGCCCTGGATCACCCTGTCCCTCTGCAGCCCTGGGCTCTCTTGGCTGGGAGGGGTGTGAAGATTTGTACCCAAGGAGCCATTCCTTAGAGGTTATTGGAGGCAGGCAAACAGGTGTTCTCCTGCCACCACTGCTCTTGGAGATGTCAGAGCAGCTTAGGTCAGAACACCATCAAGAAAAGTAGATGTTAAATTAAGTTTTCTCCCTTTCTTCCTCCTTCCCTGCCTCCCTCCTTCCCTTCTTCATTTCCTCTCTTGCCTCTTTATATTTCAGGTACTCAGATGTTAACCCCAAGTTAGCATCTTGCCCCTCAGTTCATGGCCCCTCACCACCATCAGTCGAGTCCAAGTCACTACTGAATTTTATTGTTTTCTCCTTTATCCTCTATGACTATGCCCACTCTCCTTCCCCTGTGGGCACTCATTCTGATGTGCTTAATGTGTGCCCTTCTTTTGTTTAGATACATGTGTATTCTTTTTTTTTTTGCTGAGGATGATTAGCCCTGAGCTAACATCTGTTGCTAATCTTCCTCGTTTTTTGCTTGAGGAAGATTGGTCCTGAGCTAACTTCTGTGCCAATCTTCCTCGACTTTATATGTGGGTTGCTACCACACACGGCTGGTGGGTGGTGTAGGTCCACACCAGGATCTTCTTCTTTTTGCTGAAGAAGATTAGCCCTGGGCTAACATCTGTGCCCGTCTTCCTCTACTTTATATGTGGGACGCCTGCCACAGCATAGCTTGATAAGCAGTGCGCAGGTCTGCGCCTGGGATCCGAACCCATGAGCCCTAGGCTGCCGAAGCGGAGTATGCGAACTTAACCGCTATGCCACCAGGAGGGCCATGCAAACTTAATCTTTGCCTATGGGTATTAATATTCTTGGCTGATTTACATCTTCCTATCTATGTTTAAGTATAAACTTTCTGAGGCTTACCCACTAGGGTACAGTGTTATTATCTTAAACAAATTGAGATTACTGAGCCAATTATTTACAGTCTCCACCAGATCACCATCCCAACAGCAAGGGTTGCTTATTGGCCAAAAGGGACTTGAGATCTGGGCCTGTGCACTTCCAGAGTGTTTCCTCTCCACCATAACTGCGTACATGGAGCTCTATTTTAGTACTTGAAATGACAACAAGAGTTTTGGAGTTCACTTTTTTAAAACAAGTTGGTGTCCTCTAGGTTCTAATTATACTCTCGAGTGATTCTTCTGTGTGACCCGTGTAGACAGAAGTCAGCACCGTCACTGAGGGTGCAGCAAACATTCCTCACATGTAGGCTAGAATCTTTCATTTCTTTAGTTCTCATAGCACATTTATTACCTTCCCTCCTGACACTAAAGACACTTTAATGCCAGTCTGTCGCCCTTTAGATCTTTCTATAATTCTCTCTGAGCTGCGTGGGTGGAATTTTGCACCCTTTACTAAGGTTGTGGCTGACTTCCTTCAGGAATTTCTTTCCACATAATTGAATTCTGAATTTTCATGGTCTTCTGACTGCCTGGGTATGGTTCACAGATGCCTGATTGGGTTCTGTGTACCTGCCAAACCCTCGTCCAGTTCTGAGGCTCATCGTGAGGTCATGTGGATGAGACCTTGGACTGGAGTGGTGGTAGAGGAGCCGAAGAGGATTTGAGAGAGATTTTAGCAGAGCTGACAGAATTTGTTGATGGATTAGATGGGGGTGTGAGGGAGAGGGGTTTCAAGGACGACTTCCTATTTTCAGCTTGAGCAACTTGGAGAATGGAGATTCTGTTTCCTGAAGAGGGTGACTTGGAGAAGGAGCACTGCCCACAGCAGTTATAGTTCTGCATTCATAGGACATTCAGTATCCGTCTCAGCTCCCCTCAGGGCCAAGCACTCCAGATACCTAAGGAGAAGAGCCACATCTGAACAGCAGCAGGAGTGAACTGCCATTGTTTTCTACTTTCTGGAGCCTGTCCTGTGAAGTTCATTAGTGGCTATCCCCCAGCTTGGAAGACATGCTCTTCAAGACAAACTTGTTCCAAAGATTGTCTCCTGGCAGTCCTCTCCTCTGTAGGCTTGTTTCTGAGCCTACGTGACTTCATCCAACCATCCATCCATCCATCCATCCATCCATCCATCCATCCATCCATTCAACAAATAGTCTCCAGTGCCTACTCTGTACCAGGTACTCTCTAGGCACTGAGGGTAGAGCAGTGAATAAATATTAAAGAATCTCTACCATCATGAAGCTTACATTCTAACTGAAGGGGACAAGTAAACATAAATAAGTAAATGTATAGTGCAATACAAGTTGATAGGTGCTATGGAGTTAAAGAAAACAAGTAGGGAAGGAGTATAAGGAATTTTTCTGGGGGGAGGGAGGTGCTATATAGTATAGGATGTTCAAGGAAGGCCTTCCTGATAAGGTGGCATTTGAGCAGAGACTTGAAGGAAGCTGACCAGATGTGAGGGAGGAGCATTTCCACAGTGGGAACTGGCACAAGACCCTGGGGCTGGATCCTCCCTGTTGTGTTTGGGGAACAGTAAGGAAGGCATTGAACTGGAATGGGGGGAGCTGGGGAGGAAGCAGGAGATGAGATCAGAGGGTATGGGGGCTGGTGGGCGAGTCATGTAGAATCTTGTAGACACTGTGAGGGCTTTGACTTTGACTCTGAGATAAGAAGCCATTGGGGGATTTTGAGCAAGAGAATGGAATGATCTGACTTATGTTTGAAAAGGATCATTGGCCGTTCTGTTGAGATTACAAGCATGGATACCTTTACAAGACTATTTTAACTGTCTTGGTGAGAGACAGAGGGTGATGGAGTAGCAGCAGAGGTGGCAGTGAGTGCTCAGGTTTTGGATGGCTGAAGTACAAGATATGTGAGGTGGGAAAGAAATAGCAGAATCATGGATGACTACAGGATTTTGTTTGGAGCAGCTAGAAGGATGGAGCTGCCATTTACTGAGATGGGGAAGGCAAAGGACGAGCAGATTTAGGGACATTCAGGAGTAGTTTTGGACCAGAAAAATTTTTTTTTTTTTTTTTTTTTTTTTCCCCCAAAGCCCCAGTGGATAGTTGTATGTCGTAGCTGCACATCCTTCTAGTTGCTGTATGCGGGACTCGGCCTCAGGATGAACGGAGAAGTGGTGCCTCGATGCGCACCCGGGATCCGAACCCCGGCCACCAGCATCGCAGCGCGCGCACTTAACCACCAAGCCACAGGGCCGGCCCAGGACCAGAAAAATTTGAGGAACTATTAGACACCTAAGTGGAGATGTCTCAGCTGGGGAAGTGTTATTTTGGAAGTTGTCAGTGTACAGGGGAGTACGGAAGCTGTGAGTCTGGCTGAGATCACCTAGGGAATGGGATCGATAGAGAAGAGTTAGGAGGACTGCGCCCTGAATGGACTTTATGAGCTCTATACCACAGGGATATGGGATGATTAAATGATGTTGTGTATGTAGAGAGCTTTGCACAATTCTTGGCACATAGTAGGTCCTTCTGTAAGCTCCTTCCTTCCCTCCTGTAGGTAGACACGTTCACCTTGCTGGTGGCCAGGTGGCGGTGGGTTACCCGTATGACTGTAAGTCTCCTGTCTTTGTGTCCCTGCTGCTCAACCTCCACCTGCAGCCTTGTTGACCAGCTTGGTCCTCCAGCTTCAGGGCATCTTCTGTGTCCAACAGCTCACTGCCCCTTGACATTTGGGCTCCCTCCCATCCTTCCCAGGGACCCCAGGCCTTCCCCACCTCCTCACTGATTCTTGTCTGTTTGGATTTGGGATTTGAGCTCCCCCAAAGCTTTGATCACATTTTAGTGTGAATAGAAGTGCAGAGAACTGGTTTTCAGAGGGGATTTGAGTATGAGTAAGCCCAGGAGCATTAGCGCTCTAAGGGTTGGATTTGGGGAGAGAAGGGGGCTGTAAAGTGAGGAAATGGGCCTTGAGTGGGGAGTGTAAGGGCACCAAAGAGACTTTGCTTATTTCCTAACTTTGCCCCTGACAGTAGCTGGTCCTGCACACCCCACTACTAAACTCACAGATCTAGAGATCTCTGACCTGGTGTCAAACAGCATCCTTCTTCCACAGGAGATTAGGATTGAGGTAGAAAACCATGCTGTGTCTTCCCCAAGGTCTAAGTTGGAGGGCATGTGCTGGACCACACCAGCATCCCTGAGCCCCTTCTCTGGTCTGTGTCCTGTGAAGCATGGCCAGGTTGGCATCAGCCTCAGCATCCCCAAGAGCAGAGTACCTCCCGCCTACCTACCTTTTCCTCCTTGTACCCCACAAAGCACTGCCTTGTACCTGGCTCGGTCTTTAGTTGGGGTGGTGGTGGTGGGGACAGTCAAATTTCCAAAGTCACTTTTATACCAGGCAGCAGGCATAAGGGCCAAGAGAGCAACTGAAAAGAATACAGACTTCAGTGGTTGGGGGTGAGTGGCTTTGGGTGAGGAGGACAAGAGGTGCTATTTACACTAGATCTTGAGAGGTGGACAGAGAAGTAAATGTTTTAAAAGGCAGAGATGTGGGGAAGAGCTCTCAAGGAAGAGCGAGCTGCAGCCCCTAGCATGGATGAGGGGAATGATGAGGTGTATTAGGTGTGCACCTCAATTATCCACTTCATATGCAAACAAACAATACTCAACATGGTTGTCTGTATTTTCACACTGTTCCCATTATGTAAGGCCCTGAACTAAGGGTCACTTGTTTTCTGTGCTCCTGATTCTGACTCTGCTCCATCATTCCACTTTTTAAATTGAAGTGTTTAGAACGGCACCTGCTACCTAGTAAATACCACAGTATCGTCTGTAAAATAAAAGAAATAACAAGGCTGTCTTGTGAGAGAACCAAAGTAAATAACCAGGTTCTCTTTCTACAGTGCAGTTTTATTTCAATAACCAGGTGCCTGCGAGGGGAAGACAGATGGTGTCTGGGGCCACAGTGTCCACAGGCCCCAGAGGGCAGAGTGTCATGGCAAAGCTTCAGGAGCGAGCAGGAGACCTCAGAGCATGAGAGCACAGAAAAGCAAGAATGGGCTTCAATTCAGGCTGGGATACTCCTGGGGACCATCTGGGCCTGAGAGTTGGGGAGGGGAGGTGGCTCTGTGGCTTCGTCTCATGTTCCTTGGGCCGTGCGCCCAGATCACTTGGACTGGCCGTCCAGGTATGTGATGTACTCCTGCACCCAGGCAACGCTGGGGTTGACGCAGACCTGTCGCCCTTTTCCAGTAAGGAAGCTGTGGAGAAGAAGGAGAAAGAAGAGAAGCTGAGAGTCAGCAGGCGGGAGAGGAGCCCATTCCACCACCCCACTCTCTTCCCCATGTAAACCTCCCCACCCCTCTCTCCGCTGGATGTGGCTCCTCGCAGAGAGAGAGACCGCCCCCAACCTCAATCCCCACTCTTACAGCCAGCCTCTGTTTTTCCCCAGGAAGTCAGTGAAGGCCCAGGAAGCCCCACTTTCCTCCTCTTTCTTGATCGCTCTCTATGCACTGGGACAAGCTCCCACCACCTCCCTGCAGGCCCAGCTCAGGCTGGGAAGTCCCCAGGCCGCAGCTTCCTCCTGTGTCCCCTATTAATCCCCCTCACCATTCCTAGAGAGTCCCACCCCCTGCTTTCCTCTCCCAGGCCCTACAGGTTCTCACATTTGCACACCTTCCATTATCGGTGGGGCTGTACTTACACAACTGCTGGCATGGGGCATAGGTCACTGGTCCTATAATAGTCTTTTACAAAGCGGAGTGGGATTTTCCTTGAGATGTAGTTGAAACAGCAGGGAGTCTGATCATTGGCTGGTTCTGCAAAGTAGAGAAAGGGCTGTATGACTCGAAACCTTCTCCACGTGGAAGCTTAGACCTGTATCTCTACTCCCCAGAGCATCCGAGAGGGGAAATGGGGAGAGGAAGAGACAAGATGGGAGCACCTGGGAGGGAGAGTGGCCTGGCCCCTCTCAGGCAGCTCTGCCTCCTCCCACTCTTCATTGAAGATGATCCTTCTCCAATACCTCTCCTCCCTCCCCACTGCCAGCCCCGCCTGACCTCTCCTTCTCTCAGACCCTCCCCAGGGCTGGGATGTGACTCTGTGGTCATAGTGTTTCAAATTTCTGACAGCCTTCAGAATTCTGGAATAAGAAATCAGAATTCCTGGGAGTTCTCAAATCATAAATCATTTTATATTTTTCTTTTTCTTTAAATTGAGATATAGTTGACATATAACATTGTACTAGTTTTCACTGTACTGTATATTTTTCATAACACTTTATTGTCATGTTTTTAAATAATAATGCATGACCATACAGTAAACAGTGAATCACTTTTCTGTGATAGGGTTGTACTAAAAGTTTCAGTGGTTTTGTGTATAAAAAAATAATAATAAATGCAAGGTAAGGGGCCGGCCCCGTGGCTTAGCGGTTAAGTGCGCGCGCTCCGCTGCTGGCGGCCTGGGTTCGGATACTGGGCGTGCACCGACGCACTGCTTCTCCAGCCATGCTGAGGCCGTGTCCCACATACAGCAGCTGGAAGGATGTGCAACTATGACATACAACTATCTACTGGGGCTTTGGGGGAAAAATAAATAAAATAAAAATAAAATTAAAAAAAATGCAAGGTAATAATAAATATCTATGTGTTATGACAAGATTATATCTTCAATAACATGTCAGATGTTCTCTAGCAGATACAGACAATCAATAATAGAAAACATGAAAAGAAAGGAACATTAACACAAAATAAATGGCCAATAAAAATCATTTAAAAATAGAAAAAAAAATACTACAACTCTAATATTTAAAATATTTAAAAGTTATCATTCAAAAATGAAATTCGAAAACACAGGAAGCATTAATTGCCCTGTTTGTAATCTTTATCTTTGTTTTGTAACAAATATTCCAGACATAGAACATTTTTTCCATTTTGCATTGATGTTGGCCGAATTGTTGAAAGTGTGTCCAAATGCACCTTCAAGGTGGGCGTTCGAGTACATAATGCTTCATATAAGCTCATTCCTTTTTTAACAAAGGGCATATCTTGTCTACTTGTCCTGACTTTGGTTTTCCCATTCAAATTGATATTGCTTTTGCTAATTTAGATTTTATATACGAATTAGCAAATATTCCTGGTTTCATGTCCCAGGATTCCACGGCATTTACATATTTTCTCTTTGTATTTCTTCTGTTAAAGCATTTATAAAGAACTACAGCCTATAGCAATTATTCAAACACTGGGCAATGTCAGTGAACATTATTGTTCAAATAACATAATATTCACATCTTCTACAAGAATCATAGTTGAAATTGCCCGTTTAAGGACATATTTTGCTTCCAAAACTTGCTATTTCTGGAGACGATTTGTGTAAAGTGTATTACACAGACTGTATACAAACTCATTAGCGTTTACTTAGCAGCGGACAGGCCCATGAACCCACACTGGTAACATGGCAACGGCTTCAAGCTGTTGGATTGTGACCGCGCCCACTCTGTGTGCTCCTGTCCCAAGTCCCCAAAACGCTGATCGTAACTTTGAGTTCCCAGTGTCAAGTGTTTTCTGCTCTTGATGTTAGTGGATTCCTTTAAATCAGTAACGTCTCTATGTTGATTGTTAAGCTTTAATTCTTGCAGGAGAATTATAATACTTTTCCCCATTTTCCCAATTTCTCAACTGAGTTTACTTGGGACTTGGGATTTGGAAAAATGTATAATTTTCTGACAAACGCTGAGAAGGAATTCACGCATGGAAATGCTAGTGGATGCCCAGGGTGGGCCACAGCAGGGCAGGACTGCTCCCCTGCATACGAGAGGGTTCTCTTTCATAGGCCTCAGAGAAATGCTAGAAGGGGGAGGTTTGCTATGCCAAGAGGAGCAGAGCCTTGGCTGTAAAGCAGGAGAGCTAGACTTGTCCTTGCTTCTGCTCTTGAAAGCTGTGTGACTCCAGACGGGACACTCACCCTTTCTGAACCTGTGTCCTTAAAATGGCAAATGACGGGGCAAATACTGTGCATATTGATTTATATACCAATGACTGTTTTGTGCAATAAAGGCCTTATTACCCTTGTGTAACAGACGAAGAACTGGAGGCTCAGGAAGCCTAAACAAGGCGCAGAAGGTCACAAGCTGACCAGTGCAGAGCTTCCAGACTGAGGCTCCCTGGAAGCAAAGACAGTGTCTGCTTCTGCCCACCACTGTATTCCAGCATGTTGACAGAAGGGGTGGCACAGAGCAGGCTTTTAATATATATTTGTTGAGCGAATGAGTGAATTCAGTTTGAATCTATGACTTCCTGACTGTAAAGCTAGTTATTTCTCCATTCTGTCTTGCTGTTCTCTGAAGAGAAAAAAAAAAAGCTTCCGTTTACATTAAAGTCTCTAGTACAGGCCTGGTGCATGGCTTAGTTCCTGACAGGGCTTATCTCCATTCCTCACAATAACCCTTTGAGAAAGTATTACCTGTTCTGTTTGCAGATGAGAAGTCATATGATGATAACGGGAATTATGGGAAAGCATTAAGGAGCGCTATAGCTCATTGCAGTCAAAAGTCCTGGAAAGCAGCCATCATTCCTCGGACTAGTAGGGATGTCAAATGAGAATTCTAGGACCCAGTGTTTTTCTGTCTCTGATTTTGATTGAAATTCAGCTCAGGTGAGTAGTTTCCCGGAAATCTCCTCCCAGGGCCCCTGGCTCCAGCCCACTGCTGAGAGGCAACCATGCCTGTTTAGGCAGGAAAGGGCTTTGAGCTGGGAGTCAGCACACCTGGGGTCGAGCCCTGCCTCTTTCAGTCACCAGCTGCTTCCTCTTCGTGTATCCCACAGATGTTTATTGAGAGCTTACGATATGCCGGGAGCAGCTCTGTGCCATATAGACAACTACACATATCTTTAGGGAGAGGAGGGAAGCTGATTCCGGGGCCTCAGGCTGAAATGACCCTGCAGGCCAGGCAGACAGCAGCTAGGTGTGGCCCGGCAGTGGGGACTCCTGAGACCTGGGGAGCCCACCCTCTGTCTAAAGGGGAAAGCACCCACCACCTCATTTCCAGTCGAAGGTTAGCTTGTGGAAACTTGGGCTCAAGTCTGCTTGGTCTTCCATATTTGCAAAAGAAACGGGAAATATAGATTTTTAAATGTTTCCAATTTTTAAATGTTGGCAAGCAATCCAAATATTGTAAAACCCCATCTAAGCTAAGCCGTGCAGACAGTTTGATCCTTGGCGGTTTCCTCTCTCCCAGCCTACACTTACACGTGGCTCCTGTGTCTCCCCAGGAGGCGGCGCAGCAGATAGCCTGGAGGACTCTGGATCAGCTCCTCTCTGCTGGGTACCCAAGGGCCAGGGAGGCTGTATTCAGAGGCAGGTTTTCCTCTCCCCAGAGGAGGCGGAAGTGAGTCTTGACCAGGTATGGGGAGAGAACTGTGGTAAAGACGCTATCTGTTTCGCAGGGACCCCCAGGCAGCCTTTTCTGGAACGCCCACCTCTCCTCCCTGCAGCTCCCTGCCTCCAGCCACTGTGTGCTCTTTGTTCAGAGGAATGAGAGTGACAGATCTCACCTTCATTGGCTTCAGAGTGGAGGGCAGCAATGAGGAGGAAGGCCAGGGTAGCCAGGCTGCCCTTCATCTTTCTGGCGGCTGACGAGCTGCAGGAACAGGGCTGGGCCAAGGACTCGTGGGTTCTCCGATTCCTTGAAATCTGGGCCCTGAGCTTCCTTTATAAGAGGTTGCTGGTCAGGAAGTCATGAGATAGAAAAATCCAAGATTGCATGGGAGTTTTGGCTCTTTAGAATCGTGACTGATGAGATATCTAAAATATGAGAACTGAGTCAGTTTATTCAAAGAAAAGTATAAGGCAGAGAATGACCCTAGGTTTCACATTTGGCTTACATCTGGAGGGTGGTGGTGGGGGAAGCCCAGAGACCAAGGGCTTTGGGGTGGAAGCTGCCCTCCTCCCCTGCCCCTCCCCAGGGAGCTTGGTTAAGCCTCCTTGCTAAGCTCATCTTTGAGTGTGGACCATGAGTTCAGAGGCCTGGGCAACTGTATCAGGCTCAGCAACTCCAGGGCCCACCGGGATAGAGATGTGCTGTGTCTACCTCCGGCACGAAGCCTGGACTCAGGCCTGATGGGGGCTGGGATTGGGGAGCTGGGTCCGAAGGAGATCCTGGGATGGTTGGGCCTCACCAGCCAGGATTGGACTGGAACCCTTTACCTAGGCTGAGCTGAAGGCCCCTGCCCCCGCCCAGCACAGGAAGCTTGATCAGATCCTTAGCAACCAAGGAGGGTACACAGGGCTCTCTGATCTCTCTGGGTGTACAAATATCTCTTTGAGACCCTGCTTTCAATTCTTTTGGGTATATACCTAGAAGTGAGATTGCTGGATCATATGTTAAATTTATTTTTAATTTTTTGAGGAACAGGTGTCCTGTTTTTCCACAGCTGTTGCACCGTTTTATATTTCCATCAACAGCACAGAAGAGTTCCAATTTCTCCACATCCTTGCCAACATTTGTTCTTTTCCGTTTTTTTTTGATAATAGCCATACCAATGGGTGTGAGGTGGTACCTCATTGTGGTTTTGATTTAAGCACCTGTGTTTTTATCAGTTTTATATAAAGGGGTTCCAGGTAAGTCTGTTTGCAAAGAAAACATGCCCCTACTAAAAAGAAAATTTTAAACCCCCGTTCTAATGGAAAGGGCTTTTGATCTAGACAGAGGCATTGTTTTTCGTCTTGGAATCCATCACTCATGAGCTATGGGTACTTGTGAGTAATTTCATTAAGCTTTTAAAGCTTCATAAGGCTGCTGAAAGGAATTTGTAACATAAACAATCTGAGTGAAATCTTCCTTATGTGTCCATAGTCAGACCTTCCTCAGGGCTGATGTTTGTTCTTTCAGTAGATGTTCATTGAGCTTCTACTGTGTGCCAGGCACTTTCTAGGCCCTGGAGATACAGAGGCAGACAAGAAAAGCAAGGCCCCTGCTCTTCAGGTGCTCAAATTCTAGTGGAGGAGACAGACAAACAAGGAGGCAGGAGATGGAGTTAAAAGCTAGGAAGAAAATCAACCAGGGTGATGTGATAGAAAATGCCTGAGGGTTGGCTGGAGGTTGCTTCATAAGCTGGTCAGAGGAGCCTATTCAGAGGGTGTGTTATTTCAGCTGAGACCTGCTTGTTGAGAAGGAGCCAGACTCACCCAGATCAGGGGGAAATGTGTCCCAGGGAGAGAGAACAGCAAGGGCAAATATCCAGAGGTGGGAATGAGCTTGTGCATTTGAGGGACAGACAGAAGGGCAGGTGACTGGAGAGAAGGGGTGACAGTGAGAGTGTTCAGAGATATGGTCCATTGTCCAGGTCTTTTGGGTCTGGACACTCAACAGTTTGCATCCCATTTTACCACCATCTCATCCATGTGGGCACTGCAGGTGGTGACAAAACAAGCCAGAGTGGCTCATATTCCTGGGGGACCCTGGGTAGCTACGTCCTGGAGAGCAGGTGGGTGGATTTAACATGAACACTTGTCAGTTGCTTTAAGGGAAAGCAGGGAAGAGAAGACCATGGATTCCTCCCCGCTTGGACTTCAGTCTCCCTCCTCTAGGTGGATGGAGAGGGTGTGAGCTGCCTGCTTTCTCCCAACAGATCAGGAGCATAAGTGGGAAACAGCATGTCTCTCCATTCCTTGTAGGTTCAGAGAGAGAGAGAGAGAGACCTGGATGGATGCCTCTAATGTCTGTCTTTCTCCTCCCTGCTGACTGTGGGCTACAGTGTGTACACAGCAGGTGGCAGGTGGCAGACAGTGGCCTTTGTCCCCTTGGTTAGCAGAACATCAGATGTGGGGGACACACACGGGCAGGAGGATGGAAGAAGCTGACTCATACCATCATTTGGGTCCCTGCACCAACTCCTGGGCTCCTGAATCTAAGTTACTGATGACACAGAGTCATCTGCCTTCCATGCTTTGAAAGTAAACCACATCCACCCTTCTCCCGGAGCTTCAGTCTTGTTTGACTGACTCTACTTCCCCTATTCAAATGAGAAGGGATGGAGTGGAGGAGGGGGACTTGGGGAGGGTTAAGACTCTAAGGTTTTTTTTTTTTCAGTAAAACTGTTGTTTTTGTTTTTGCACACTGGCACATACAACAATGGTGCTGGCCCACAATAGATTATACATTAGTTTCCTGAATTTTCCTGTTTTCCCAGCTGATTCCAGTGTACTTTTGTTAAATGCTGAAGACCAGAGTCTATCTACAGCTCTCTCCAGCCCATACATCCTCAGATGTCCCTTGCTGCCAGAGAAGGAAGTGGGGTTGGTCCAGCCTGACTTGCCCCAGCTTTACTCATGCTGACTTGCGGTGATCACTTCCTTTTTTAACGTGCCAGCAAAGGATTTCTTACCAAAAATTGCATAGATATAGAATCTTGCCTGGAACAGATGTGGCTGACCACTCTTAAGCTCACGGAATCCATCTTCTTTCCCTCTCCTTTTTTGGAAGACTGGCTGCTGTTTGCTTGTCTTCAATATCCTGCAGCCTCTCTGCCTCCCAAGGGTCCACAAAGATTATCAGACTCTACTGTACATTGTCTCAACTACTAGAATGGACTTCATCCAAGCCAAGGAATGAAATGCCATGCAATCTACCTACCCATCTTGGCCTTCGATTTCTTCTTATCTTTGGGAAATACACCCTTTCTAGACTATAATGGACAGAGAAGGGACAAATGAAAACTGGAGACTAGGTGTTCTGCTTTATCTCTTTCACTTGTTCAGTTAGCACTCTGTTCATTCATTAATTCACTCATTTACTCATTCACTTATTCTATAAATAATTGTTGAGTGCATACCGTGAGCTGAGCACTGTTCAAGCACCAGAGATATTAGCCGTGAACAAGATGCATAGGGTCTTCTGCGAATTTAAGCAAGCAATAGGCCTTTGACAGTTTTTTCTGAAAACAAAACAAGACAAAATAAAAACTTTCATCATGATTCATTATTTAAAAAGCAACACTATGGAGAAATTTGGGAAATACTTAAGCAAAAAGAAGTAAGCAGAAATCCCCTGTGATCCCACAGTAACATTTTTTAGATGTATCTTCTGTCTTTCTCCTCTACATGCTTTCTCCCTAGCTGAGGTCATACCAAAAACCCAATTTCATAACCCATGATTTGACATATTGTGAACAATTTCATTTCGTTATATGCAATTTAAAATAATTTTTAGCAAAAATGGTGCGTGCTTTTTATAGAATTTTGAAGAAAATTAAGGAGGAAAAAACTCACTGTTTACCACCATAAATATTTCAATGTGTAATTTTCTAGTCACTTTTCTATATATAATCATTATACATATTATATACATACTTAACTAAACAAAAAATGGGGTCATACTAACTGTTCTTTTGTATAACCTGATTTTTATAGTTTTGTAATTATTTTTATTTGCTATCGAGGAGGCATAAAATAGAGATTGATGATAAAGAGAAACAACACAACAAACGTCCTTGCATCCACCACCCCTCTGCAAGCCTGTCCCCACTCCCTTCTTCCTCTGACCACTCTCTCTCGCAAACATTATTCATACTATACTCTTGCTTTTCTTGTAGTTTCACCATGTGTATTTGAATCTTAAACAGTGTATTTTTAGTTTTGTATGTTTTTGAACTTTATATAAATAGAATCATTATATGTATTCCACAGCCTTTTTCTCTCTCCACATTGTGCTTCTGAGATTCACCCATATCACTGTGTGTAGCATTTGAGCATTGTGGAGACTGGACAATCATTCACCTACATTTGCTTTCACTCCTGATGGAATTTCAGTGTATGAATATACCATGATGCATTTTTCATTTGCCCCCTTTTATTTTTGCTAATGCTAACAGGGCTGTTATGGGTATTCTTGTGCATGTTTCCTCCTGTACTTGTGCTAGGGTATTTGTGGGATGTATCTGGAGTGGGAGTGCTAGGTCTTTGGCTGTGCACGCCTTTACTGTACATGATGACAACAGTATTTTCCAAAGCGATAGGACCAATTCACACTCCCAGCAGCAGTGTGTGCGTATCAGTTGTTCCATACCCTCTCTAATATTAATACTTCTCAAATTTAATATTTAATTAAATTTGGAGGGAGGGACACAGGAAGGAAGGAAGGAAAACTTTATTCTTTCCAAACCCAGAATCCAGAACTAGGTACTCATATTTAATAAATATTGCTGGTTTGATAAATTTCTTACAATGTCTGCCTGGACCCAGCGCATTGCAGCCACTGAAATCTCCTATGTGACTGAAGGGAAAAAGATGAGGGGAGGCAAGGGGGGGCCATGTGATCTCTCAGAACATTTAGTAAATAATACAATTCGAAACTCAAAAGGAATTTCAACCATAACGTAGCATACATAAATCTAAAATAAACGTGAACAGAGCCCTAGAGTATGTCTGGAAGCGGCTTCTGAGGTCTCAGGGAACTTGCCTGGCTCAGGTCGCCGTGTCCAATCTGTTCACATCTCTAGCGCTTTCCTTGCTGGTTCCAGACCCCTCAGGGATCTAATTCCAGTTGCTGATGTATTTCTGGAACCACACCTTGCTGGGGTTGGCACAGACCTGTCCAGTCTCTTATATGGAGGAAGCAATGGTGAGAGGGAGAAGTATACAAAAAGGAACAATTCAGCAGCAGGATGCCTGTGGGATTCTCTCTCTCTGCTCTATGTCTCACTCTCCATAGGGGTGGGCAGGAAGACTGGCTCTGACACGGCACCAGGCTGGGAGTATCAGCTGCTGGCCTTTAATAAGAAATT